CTGCCATACTCCTCTCGGGAGCTTGGGCGCGCACGCACACACACACACACACACACACACACACACACACGCACACGCCCGGCGTGAGATTAGGCCACTGGGTCCGGGACTTGAACTGTGGTTGACTACATGGGAGTCCAGCGACATAGCCATTATGCTAACTGCTGGCCCAAGGGATCCAGCTGTCTTAACCTCCCCTCCACCTACTGGCCCTGCAGTTTGCCTTTTTTCACTTAGTGTCACAGAAATCATTACTTAGGCTATGTAATTATTTTAAAACTTTAATATCTCACTGTATGAATATATTAGATTTCTTTATCCACTCCTCTAATGATAGATATTTAAGGTATTCCCAGTGTTCACAAACAAATTCTAGAGAAGAAATTGGTGAGTGAAAAAGGAAGCTGAGGGGCCAGTACATAGCGTGGTGGGGAAGGTGCTGCACTCACACATGGCTAACCACAGTTCGAGTCCTGGGCTCGGCAATTTGAAAATCATGCCGGGCACGTGTGTGTGTGTGTGCCCAAAACCCTGAGAAGAGAATGGAGAGGGGATAGCAGTGTGGCCACTGCCCCAGAAGGTGACTTCTCACCTGCCCTCTCTCTGCCCCTCTCTAGCCCGTGCACGTGCCCTACGGAGAAAACCTTGAGAAAAGAAAAGCAGGCTCACTCTTTAATTTGGGAAGTACTCCCCAATTTCATTTCCTCTGTGGAGATGGTAATAATTTTCATTCCCGCCCTGGGGGACGGACGCCGGTGTCTCGCGCACTCCGGCCAACACCGCCTACCACCTTGCTATCTGCCAGTCCCAGCGGTGGGGCGTGCCGCCTGGTTTATCTGTACCTCCTCCATCCTGATACGGCCGAGGCTCTTCACGCACATGCTAACCACTTACATTTAAGAAACCGCCTTAACTTAAAGGGGGGACAAGGTTGATTACGTGCAATATGGGGGCTAATGACACTCCCCCAATTCCTTTGTTTTCGGGGGTTATTTTGCTGAAGAACTTGAATACGTTTCTGTACATTTCCTATTAATAACAGCTTTGCTTCTAGAACCTGTTTCTATAACAGCAGGATGTTTACATTTCAGACATTAGCCACAGTTGAATAAACGGAATTTCTTAGTTCACTTTCCGGCGCCAGAAGGCAAGACTATTTCGGATGCCAATCGCTTTTGTTACGTTTCATTAGGACTCAGTGGAAAATCATTTCAAATTTCAAAAGCATCTTTTTTTTTTTTTCTTTTCTTTTTAAGGCTTTTGCCACAGGGTGTGTGCACTTGCCGGAGAGGAAAGAGACAGAAAGAGGCGTGTGCACTTGCCAGAGAGAAAAGAGACAGAGAGAGACAGTGAGGGAAGGTGAGAAGCCACTCTCTGGGGGATGGCCACAACACAATCCCTTTCCTTCCCCTCTCTTCCTGGCATTTTGGGCACGCACGCAAACACGCCCAGAATGATTTTTCAAGCCACTGGGTTTGGGACCCAGATTGCGGCTGGCCACGTGAGAGTCCAGCATCTTGGTGACCACACCACCTGCTGGCCCCTGAAGGCATCTATTTTGCAAAGTAGAAAGGCCTGGTGATTTGCTCCATCCTGCATGGCGGGCAGCACAGAAGGCCCCTCGCCTCGCTAATACAGACTTGCTGTCCTCCTCAACGATCTCCACTCCTAAGCGCTCCCTTACCTGGTGCCCACCGACTGGTTCTCAGGGAAGTCCTGACTTTTTCTATGCAAAAACGCATCACAGCTTTCCTGACAATCCAGTAACTGCAATAAATGTGCACACCCTGGTGTATCTTCTGTCTACTCCAAGCGGGCTGAACACTTTCTTCTATCATATCATTTATTCTTTTTCATCCGTCTCTCTCCACTTCCTATAGAAAAGGCAGGCCTATTGAAATGGAAAAGTTACTGTCATAAGGTATTTTTCTTTGGATTTTCTAGTATTTCTTTTTCTCAATGACATTTCTGGGAAGTTTTCTCTCAATACCCGTTTCTCCTTCCTTCATTTTCTTCCCTTCTTCCTTTCTTTACATGTGGCCTACCACACTTCGAACCCTAGTCATCATAGACCTGCTGGTCCAATATCTGCATCTCCTACGACATCTTCCCGAAAAACCCACTCTGAGGATTGCGTGGCTGCCACTCTGAGGCTTCTACAGCGCATTGGCATAATATCCTCCACAGGCCAAACAGTTTCTTAGTATGAGAAATGTTTTTAAAAATGGCTTTCTCAGTACACTCCTGAAGAAGAGAGTTCGTAATCCGTACGTGTCACTGAGTTTAATGTATGGATACCATCAATGATCTCTTAACAAACCAGTTTTCTTTGTTGTAATTCTAGGCATGCCCTCCTTGTCATTTTCATACTTTTCTAGTTCCTGCGCTACGAAGGAACATATAAAGTCTTTTCCACCCTCCTCTTTCAGCTGACAGCCGCGAGGATGTCTCGGCACAGCCCCCAGCCAGCAGCACTGCCTGTTGCCACACTTACACTGAGTGACAAGCAGACGGAGACAACACCACACTGAAGATGTTGTGTTGCCATATAGCTTTGTAAATCTGTCTGGGAGATACGCAAGCCATGATGAAAAGAAACACAATTATTTTTAAATAACCATATGGGACATAGCTCCTTTTTTCTTTCTTTTTTTTTTTTTTTTTTAAAGTTTTTGCCATAGGGGTGTACACTTACCAGAAAGAGAGAGAGAGAGACAGAGACAAAGACAGACAGACAGTGAGAGGGAGAGTGAGAAATCCCCCAGGCGGGATGGCCACACCACAATCCCTTCTCCCCGGCTCTCTTCTCAGGGCTTTGGGCACGCATGTACACATGTCCAGTGTGATTTTCAAGTCGCCAGGTCCGGTACTCAGACCATGGCTAGCCATGTGGGAGTCCAGCACCCTAACCACCATGCTTCCTGCTGGCCCCTGGGGTGCAGCTCCTTTGGACATCGATCACTGTCACGTGATTCACTGGATGACAGACATCATCTCGGACACAGCACCGCCTCTGAAGCGGTGGCTCTTTACCTGCGCAGCACTGAGGAGGTGTGTCCGATAGACCGCGATGACTTCCTGGTGCTGTCTGTCGGCATCCTGGCAACACGGAAAGACAGGCAGGTTAGCGTGTCAGCACTCACGTCTCCAGACCCGGGCAGGCGTGTGGCAGCGCTGCTCTCGGTCCAGCGCTGCAGACGCTGCAACTGCCATAACGCGCTCCTGCTCCTTCTGACAGTGCACCCGCCTCGGCCCTGCCCGGTGCGGAGTTCCGCTCCGTACTATTTACAGCACAGACTCGCCCAGGAGTGTGTGGGGACAGGGAGGGGAGGGCGCACTCGCCCTGGGCACAAGACGACACTCCAGCTGACGTCGGACGCCGTGCATCTACCCCAGAGTTGCCAGCTCATGCTGCAGCCTCCGCCAGGCTCCCTGAACGCCTCCTCTCCACCCAGTTCCCTGCGAGCTCCCCGCGGGAGGGAGTGCCTTCCCCATGTGCACTCGTAGCACAGAGACCTCGGGTGACACTTCTTCATGTCTGAGAGTCCACATTTACAATCTCGGTGCCCAGTGCCCTCACGAACTGGCCTCGAGCAGGAGTTCCCAGGGATCCGCAGGCCTGTGACTGCCTGGCCACGTCACAGCATCCCACTGCCAGGCCTTTCCGCATGCTGTCTGCTTTGCCTGGAAGATCCTCCCTCTTTTTTCCCGCCTAGCAAAATGCCTTCTGCTCTACAAACTCTGGTCAGGTACTCACTTCCTTTTGAAACCAGACCCCCCCACATCCCTCATCTTTCCTTCCTGGGTGCTCAGATCTCTGAGAATCTGGCACTGTGCCCTAACTCTGCATCCGACATCTCTTATCTTCCTTCTCATGGGTCTGTGTTCGTGTTTTGCCTGTCTATCTACCCCGAATGCCACAGGGACAGGAACAGGGTTCTCCGTCTGACAGGGCCTGGTGTGGTGCATGGAACACCGCGCATAGCAACACTGAAGGGACCACTATGTCCCTGCGAGAAGATCCGACCAGCAATTTGTCGTCACTGCCTGCAGGTCAGGCGTGCTAAAAAATGAATGCTTCTAGAAAGAACTTTCTTCTACTCAAAAACAACTCATAAGCAGCTGCAATATTATGGGAAATATTAAGAACAATTTATATTTGATTAGGCTATGTCTTTTATACATTTTAGTGTATATTGGCTCATTCAATTAAAAACGCAAACGAGTCGTTTTAGTTATTATCTTACTTTAAGGATATGGAAACCAAGCGTCACGGGGAATGACTAATTAATTAATTAACTGATTATTGAAAGAGGGAGCAGGGAGCAGAGGAAGGAAAGGAAGGGGAAGGCGTGGGAGCCAGGGAACCCACAGCGGGTCTTGCCACACCAAGCTCCCCGCCAGCCAGGAACGTGGGCACGCCTGGTGAGTTCAGGCCGACCCGGGACGGAACCCCAGCCCCAGCCCTGCTGCACGGGCTGGACCAGCGTGCTTCAGAGTGGCCGGCCTAGACCGGAGCGCCCATCTTGTTAATTTCCAGATCTGGACGCTTCCTTTTAATATCTAAGAAAATCAAATGTAAACACATAGGAGTGTCTGTCTTTATCCATAAGAATAAAAGATGATCAGAAGCCCCGTTTGGTTTAGAGGATCAATATTTTACAGAGTGAGCTGGCAGGGAGGAAGATGCTGGATCTGGAGTCGGCCAGGCGCAGTTTAAACCCCAGCTGCACCACCCCAGATCACATACTTTAATCTTTGTTTCCTTTAAGAAATAAGGGGAAGGTTGGGACCAGTAGTTAGCATAATGGCCAAGTTGCTGGACTCCCATGTAGTCGACTGCGGTTCGAGTCCCAGACCCGGTTGCTTAAACTCATGCTGGGAGCGTGTGCGTGTGTGCCCAAGATCCTGAGAGGAGAATGGAGGAGAAGGGATTGTGGTGTGGCCATCCCCCCGGGGGGTGATTTCTCACTTTCTATCTGTCTCTCTCTGTCTTTCTGGTGAGCGCACGCGCCCTATAGCAAAAACCTCTCCAAAAAAAAAAAAAGAAAAAGAAACCAGGGGAAGGAATAAAATCTCCTTTGTGGGGTTGTGATGGAGATACCATTTAGAGATAGAGTATATCAAATGTTTAATAGAGTGCCTGGCAAATTGTAGGCACCAAATGATACTATTCTACCACCAGCAGGAGGTAACTTGTGGCAAAAATGATTATTCTTGGATCCGAGCACACTGCCAACCAATCTGATTTCTTTCTTTTTCTAAGGTGTTGCCATAGGGTGTGTATGCTTGCTGAAGCGAAACAGAGGCAGTGAGAGGGAATATGAGAAATCACCACCCGGGGGGATGGCCATGCTACCATCCCTTCTCCATTCTCCTCCTGGGATTTTGGGCATGCTCACACTCACACCCAGGGCGGTTTTCAAGCTGCTGGGTCCAGGACTTGAAGTGCAGTTGACCGTGTGGGAGTCCAGCGCCATAACCACTATGCCACCTGCTGGCTCCAATCGGATTCCTAAGAAAGCACTGGGTACTGACTACCGTGACCCGCGCCCGCCAGCCCGCGCTGCCCGTACTCACAGCCAGCTGCCGCTGCAGAGCTTTCACCTGGTGCTGCAGGGCGTCGACCAGCTGGCTCTGCCTCTTGGTGGGGTTCCCGCTCGTGTAGGTGAGCTGGGAGAGGCCGTTCAGGGCCTGCTTCAGCCTCTCCACGTCATTCAGCAGTTCAGTTATCTTCGAACGGAAAGTTGGAGGAGAAGCACGCGTTACTCACTCATTGCTAAAGAGCATCTCTGCACCAAAGACACGTCTTTATTTGAGTCACTAACTTCATATAGCAGACACTGGAGGTGTGGACACTGTCAAGATGGTTATCAACAAGACATACAATATGTATTTTAATTTCTTAATTCAACTCCTCAGTAAGTTTCTTACAAAGACAACACTAAACTGAGGACACAGTATCACATATGTCCTCAGACTTGAGTATAAGCTTCGTCTTACGTTTAAACAATGGCTAACTACCCGTGAAGGTGCGCAGCCTGGAGATACCTGGAACTCAGAAGGGAGGGTTCCTACAAATCCAGACGAAGGCAGAGACCTTGTTACTTCTTGAGTTGTATTATTTAAGACCACCTTGTTATAAAGAGGGGGAAAGACTCGGGAGACTGAGAGAAGTGGGACGGGCACAGGCTGCAGGCGGGCTGCTGACCCATGTGTGCTGGGCTAATTTCCCTTACTTTTCTGAGCTTCGGTCTCCATATCCGTGAAAGGCAGAAAATCTTCTAGAGTTAAGACATCAAGTGAGGGCCAGCAGATGGCATGGTGGTTACGGTGGCTGGATCTCACAAGGTCAACTACATGGTTCGAGTCCTGGACCTGGAGGCTTGAAAATCACACCAGATACATCTGTGTACCCAAAATCCCGAGAGGAGAACAGAGGAGAAGGGACGGCTGTGTGGTCATCCCCACTGGGTAGTGATTTTTCTCTTTCTGTCCCTTGCTGGTGAGCACATGCACCCATAGTAAAAACTAACTTTTAAAAACAAAAGCAGTCCTGAGCGGCAGCGAGGATGAGCAGCCACTGTACTGCACTGACGGTGCTCACGGCCAGCTGCAGCAGCTGACGGCACTTACGCTCTAGGTCACACGAGCAGGTGTGCCAGAGCGGAGCGCTTGCACCTCTGCACTCAGAGGCTGGTCTGTCTGCTTTTACTCAGCCTAGCACGTGGCATGCGGAAGGCGCTTATTAGTTACTGGTTAGACGGAAGAAATTAGAGTCGGTCTTCATACCCATCTCCACAGTACAACGCTATGCAACTACCAGCGCCTGACCTACAAATTAGACTGTGATAATAAAAAATGAGAAGATAAATTTGTGTCTCCAAGTCACCGCCCGTAAAACCTGGTTGGGAAAATCAACCACGTACATCTAGCGTGGTAACACGAATGTGTGAAGACTGGCAAAGTCCAAACAAAACACACACTTTTCTAGAGGAATCGTTCCCTGCAGGCTGGATTGGACGCGGGGGGTTAGGGAGGAGGACACGGTGAGAAAGCATGCGGACTCCCTCAGTGGGAAGGGGGACGGACAGGGTGGGGAAGGGGCCAGCCTATAGACAGAATCGAGGGGCGTGTCTGTGGTGAGCCCGAGCCCAAGACCAAGGTGACGTTCCTCGAGTCCTTAGTCTCCTGCAGCCCAGAAGCAGAGCTTTCTTTCCCTCAGACTATTATCCATGGGGCAACTGACCCTGCACTCTCCCCCTCTCTCCTCAGTTCTTGGCTGGACCAGCCGAAGAAACAGAAGGAAAACGCTTTTGATTGTGTGTATGTATGTGTGCAAACCTCCCTCCCTTCCTTCCTTATTTCTAAATTTGCTACAGGGCACATGTGCTCACTGGGACGAGTGGTAACACGAATGTGTGAAGACTGGCAAAGTCCAAACAAAACACACACTTTTCTAGAGGAATCGTTCCCTGCAGGCTGGATTGGACGCGGGGGGTTAGGGAGGAGGACACGGTGAGAAAGCATGCGGACTCCCTCAGTGGGAAGGGGGACGGACAGGGTGGGGAAGGGGCCAGCCTATAGACAGAATCGAGGGGCGTGTCTGTGGTGAGCCCGAGCCCAAGACCAAGGTGACGTTCCTCGAGTCCTTAGTCTCCTGCAGCCCAGAAGCAGAGCTTTCTTTCCCTCAGACTATTATCCATGGGGCAACTGACCCTGCACTCTCCCCCTCTCTCCTCAGTTCTTGGCTGGACCAGCCGAAGAAACAGAAGGAAAACGCTTTTGATTGTGTGTATGTATGTGTGCAAACCTCCCTCCCTTCCTTCCTTATTTCTAAATTTGCTACAGGGCACATGTGCTCACTGGGACGAGAGACAGAAAGAGAGAAAGTGAGAAAGCAACCCTCAAGGACAGCCATGCCACAATCCCCTCTCCCTCCCTCCTGCCCCACTTCTGGCCATGCACACACACGCCCCTGGTGAAAACTGGCCACGTGGATCCAGCCGCCCCAACCATCACATTTTTCCAGCTCAGAACTTTTTACACGCCAGTAGTCGAACTGGACTGGTGGCACTTCCCGGTCACTTGGTTGACACTTCTGGAAATCTGCCTGTGGGACACTAGGGCAGAATCCTGCTCTCCTACTCTGGCGGCTCCGCTCCGGGCACCCCACACCACGCGGACCACTCGTGCCTACCTTGTTATCTTTGGCTTCGACTTGTTTAGCAGACTCCTGGATGCGCCTCTGTAACTCTGTGATGGTGGTCAGGGACTTGTCGCAACGCTCCTGCTGATCCTTGATCTCCTGCTCGATGCTGAGACGCAGCAAGTCCTTCTCGCCCGTGGCAGAATGGCCCTTGTTTTGGGCATGCAAAGCCTCCTCACATACTTCCTCGTACTTTCTGTTCAGATGGGCCAGTCTTTCATTTAAGTTGGAAATCTGTGTCTCCAGATCGCTCTTTGTGGCTTCATACTTAGACAAGTCAACGACCTCTCTGCTCTCTAATTTCTTTAGCGCTTGTTTGACATTCTGAAGCTCAGACTGCAGTTGGGAGACCTCCTCGGTTTGGCGCTGGTGCTCTTCTTCCTTGGCTCTCAAACTAGCCGTGAGGACTTCGACTTCCTTCTCGAACGCTCCCTTGACCTGCAGATGCTCCGCCAGGGGCACCGAGGCGCTCCTCTGGCTCTCCAGCGACTGCTGCAGCCTGCTGGCCGCCTGCTGCTCTCTCTCACAGCACGTCTGCTTCGCCCTCAGTTCTGCCCTCAGCGTCTCAATCGTGCCGTTCAGGGACTTCTTCAGAGCCTCGACCTGCTCCAGCGGGACGTGCTGCTTCTGCAGAGCATTCCGCACTGCGAGCATCTCAGAAGACTGCCTGGCGTTTTCTTCCGCCAGCTTCTCTTTCTCGTTCTTCGCTTCCGCGTATTTCTGCGACAGGTCTCTTACCTGTCTGTTCAGTTCTTCCGTCTTCCTGCTTAGCGCTTTTTCCACTTCGCGAGCGTTCTCGACGAGGACGTTCTTTTCCCGCAGCTCTTTCTGCAGGGTGGAGACCTCCTTCTTCAGCCGGTCGCTCTCCTGCCTGCTCTTCCTGGCTTCCTCTTCTCTAGCACTGCACTTCTGGGTCTGCTCGGACAGCTGCTCTTTCAGCCCTTTCTCCGTGGCTCTGAACTTCCTCTCGCACTCTTCCAAGCGGGTAACCGGGGCATATTTGAGCTTTATGCATTCCTGAATGGTGTCCAGCTCCTTCTTCTGGGCTTCGATCTCGGCGTGCAGAGTCACGATCTCTTCCTGGCCCTTTCTGTAGTTAGTCAGGGTCTCGGCGCTCTGCTCCTGGGCCTCCTGCAGGCTCTTCCGTAGAGCCCTGGTCATCTGCTCGTGCTCGTCCAGGCTGACGTACTCGGCTCTGAGCTGGTTCTGAGTGTTCTCCAGGCTGCGCCTCAGTGTCTCATTCTCGTCTTTTACTCTTACCACCTCTTGACTTACATCTTCGAGCTTCTTCTTCACAGTCACCAGCTCCCTGCTCGTTTTATCCAAGGTGCTGCTCAAGGCCGACGTCAGCTCCTCGTGGGTCCTGGCCGGCACGTACTGGCTGCTCAGGGCCTTCTTCAAGTCCGCGTTCTCGGCTGTGAGCGCGTGTATCTTCTCTTGGCCCTCGCCACATTTCTTAGTCAGTTCAGAGAGCTGCTTCTCCAGCTCACCGATGCTGGATTTCAGAGCCAACGTCTCTCTTTCATGTCTCTCAGGAGGGACAAACGCGGTTTCCAGGCGGCTCACGCTCCTACTTAAACTGTCATTTTCCACCCGCAGTTTCTCCATCTCTGACTTCTTCTCTGCATATTTTTGCGTGACGTCTAAAAGCTTCTTATTCAAGTCGTCGATAATCACGCCGTGGGACTTCTTCATGTCTTCGCTGACTTTCAAAGGCACGTACTGGCTTTTCATTTCGGTGGTCAGGTTGTGCACCTGCTGGTTGAGGAGCTGCTTATCCCCGAGAACCTTCTCCAGCTCCTTCTGCAGCACCTGGTTCTTCCGAGTTAGCTCAGTGACCTTCCTCCCGAGCTCTCCCGACTTCTGCTCTAACCTGCTCTTGAGCTGCTCGTGCTCCTCGGGTGGGACGTGCTGAGCGAGCCTGGCCTTCACGTTCTCAAGGTCTCTCTTTAACTGCCTCATCTCACTGAGAGACTTTTCATGTTCTCTTTCCACCTCTACGATTCTTTTGGCTTTCTCACTCACTTCGTTCGATAACGAGCTCTTCATGTTTTCAAACTGCTCTGCCGGGATGGAGAGGGCCAGCTTTGCAGACAGTTCTTTCACCCGGCCTTCCATCTCCGAGACCTGCCGCCCCTTCTTCTCTCGCTCCACTTCGCACGCTCCGACCTCCCTCTGCAGCCGCTGCTGCTCCTCCCTCAGCCGGGCCCCGTCCCTCCTCAGCTCTTCCACCAGCGCCTCGTTTTGCTTGAGCTGGCTCCTCAGCTTCCCCACCTCTGCGGACGTGCCCTCGTACTGGGCTCTCACGTCGCTCAGCTGCTCCCTCAGGTCCTCCGCCACTCTGTGACCCCCGGCGGCCTCGCTCGTCAGGTGCTCCTTGAGCGCGAGGAAGTGGGCCTGCATCTGCTTCACCTTCCCCTCGGACTCGTACATCCTCTTCTGCACGTCTTTGAGCGCGTCCTCCAGCTGCCTGATCTGGTCGTCCGAGTCCTCCTTGACCCTCTCGCACTCCAAGGCCAGGGCTTTGCACTCGGCCACCTTGTGGGCCAGCTCGTTCTGCAGCCGCAGGCGGTCTTGTTTGGCGGACTCGCAGAAAGTCCGCATGGCTTCTAACTCCTTCTTTAACACTTCGCTTTCAGCGTAGGTGGAGTGAGCGGGGGCAGACAGCTCCAGGGGTCTCACCACAGACCTGCTCTGCAGATGGGCCGGCAAGCCGGGGGACGTGCACTGAAAGGAAAAGAGGACGTTAAGTCACAGGGCCACAGGGAGACACTTTCCACACATTCAGAGACGCTCCCCATCGTCAGGTGTCCCAGGTTAAAGGGACGTGGCACCGACTTTGGGGTAAGACGTGTTCTGGCCACCATGTCCTTGGCAAGCTCAGGACGTGGAGTTCTGTTCACGTGAGTCCATTTCTCGCAGAACAAAAAGGAGAAAAGGCAGAGCCTCCGGGTGCCGTCTCCTCTCCCTGCCCCGTTCCTAACACCGGCCCACACTAAGGGTCAGCTTCATCGAGCCACATTTCCCACTTCCGTAGTCCATGGCACCTAGTGTGCTCAGAACTTCAAGGTCAGTATTTTTTCCTTTTTTTTTTTTAAAGGTTTTTACCATAGGGCAAATGCGCTCTCCAGGGAGAGAGACAGACAGAGACAGTGAGAAGGAGAGGGAGAAATCACCCCTCAGGGGGGATGGCCATGCTGCAATCCCTTCTCTGCCATCCTCCTCCCAAGATCCTGGGAGCACGCACACGCTCCCAGCGTGATTTTCAAGCCACAGGGTCAAGCACTCAAATTGCAGTTGGCCACGTGGGAGTCCGGTGACATAACCACGACGTCATCTGTTGGCCCTAGAACTTCAAGTTCTAAACAAAGTCATCAGAACCTTCAAATTAAAACAAGTATCGACATTTTAAAAACGCGAATAACTTGAGGGCATTACACAGTATCTAACTTCTAAGAAGGTGGGTGACTTCTGAGAGCTCTCACTGCTCACTCCAACATACAGAATCCCCCTTTCCCACGGAGGGTACACCCCAAGGCCCCCGGAAGATGCCAGAAACCACATTTTGGTAATACCAAACCCTAGGTGTACATATCTGTGCTACAGGCTAGTCTGTAAAATTAATTTTATTTCTTTCATGAGCTAGAAAGATGGAAACAGACAGACAGACAGGTATTCTTGACAGAGAGATTCTACAATGCAATCCTCCCCCGCCTCCAGGCCACTAGCTATGCAGGTGTGCACGGTCCCACCCAGTGTATTTGGGCCCATCTGTGATGCAAACTGGGTTTAGCACGTGACTGCAGTGTAGCACCAATGGCACCCTACCCCTGCACCACCACGCTGGGATCCACACAGCTTATAAAGTAAACGTGGCTAAGAGGTCAGCGACAGACGCCAGCATCTGGAGTGGTGGCTAAGGCGCACGAGTCCCACATGGCTGGCCGCAATCTGATACCTGGACCTGGTGGCTTGAAAAATCACACTGGGCGCATGTGTACGTGTGCCCATAATCCCAGGAGAATGGAGGAGAAGGAACTGCAGCATGGCCATCCCTCCTGGGAGGTGATTTCTCACTCTCCCTCTCTCTGTCGGATCTCTGTCTCTCTCTCCAGCTAGCATACATACCCTATGGGGAAAAAACAGATCTTAAAAAGGGGCCAGCAGGTGGCATCATGGTTGAGGTGCTCGACTCCCACATGGCCAACTGAGGTTCGAGTCCCAGACCTGGTGGCTTGCTTTCGCACTTTCCCTCTCTCTCGTGAGCATATGTGCTCAATAGCAAATTAAATAATAAGAAGAAGAATAAAATTAAATAATTTTTAAAAATCTTTTTAAAATATTGACAATAACTAATAACAAAACTGAACAATTATAATAAGTTCTTCCATGAAAAGTGTGTGCACGTGGTCTGTTTCTCTCTCAAAAGACCTTCCTGTACTGTACTCACGTATTTTCAGCCCTTGGGTGGCCATGGGTAACTAGAACCACTGAAAGGGAAACTACGTCAAGGATGGACTACTGGAATGTTCTTGATGTTATAAAATTACCACCAAAATAAACCCAGCTAACATGAGTGTTGTCAAGAGAATGCGAGTCAATTGATTAAACAATAATAATAATTTTGACAAGTGTTTCTTGACAACAGGAAGATAAAGTACAATTTAGCACACAATCTTAATTTGACTGCTTTCTTGTTTCTTCTATTAAGTGCTAACCAAAAAGAAGTGTAATTAAACTTCTCAGTAAATAGTTCACAAATACCTGAACATAGAATCGTGAAAGACAAATTTAGCTATTTTTACTCCTCTCATACAGCTTACTACAATCTCTCTTCACAAGTACCAATTCACTGAAAAAGCCATGTGCTAGAGTATGTCCCACTCCATAGGCAGCTGCTACTGTTATTCAGATACATCTAAGCTGCATTCCCCTGGATCAGGAGCAAGAAAACTGGCAGCATGGAATAATTCCCCAGCCCCATGTGGCTCTGAAATAAAGGTGAAGGCCCGCGAACCAGGGAAAGCGGACACCGCTCTAATTCCTGGAGACTGGGACTGATGGATTGCGTGGCTGACTGGTTGGTTTTTGCCATAGGGCACGCATGCTTGTTGAGACAGAGAAAGTGAGAGGGAAAGTGAGAAATCACCCCCGAGGGTTGATGCCCACACCACAATCTATTCTCTTCTTGGGATTTTAGGTACACATGTACACATGCCCAGTGTAATTTTCAAGGCACCAGGTCCAGGAATTGAACCACAATCGGCCATGTGTGAGTCCAACACCTTACCCACCACACCACCTGCTGGCCCCGAAACTTGCTTTCTGTTGAGGTGAATTACCCAAACAGAAAACATGTATATTTTGAATGGCCAGGAAAAATACATTTGAAAGTCAAAACGAATTACTTTTGAATGACTCACACCTGTCTTCCCCTTTACATGGGAGACTGTGAAGAGTTAACTGATCATGGCTAATGAACAGCAGCTCCAGCTCCTGATCAAAGACAGGGACATCGTAACTCCTGCCTCTAATTGAAGCCACTACCTCAGAGAGACTCTAGGGGGCACCC